CAAGCCAACGCCTTGGCACCAACTGGCTGTTTAACAGAAATATCTGGGGACACCAGTGCCTGGGTTCCAGGAGCAGTGATGGGGTGGCGTCAGGGCTGGAGAGCCTGCTGGGGGCTGGGGTGCTCAAGGCCCCCCGTGATGCTGTTCCCCAGAAGCAGCCAGGGCTTCCTGCACCTGAAGTTTGCGTGGACACGAGAGAACCAGCTGGTGCTGGGCCAGCACAGCGGCCCCTTCGCCAGTGTGCCCGAGCTGGTGCTCCACTACAGCTCACGCCCGCTGCCCGTGCAGGGCGCTGAGCACCTGGCCCTGCTGTACCCGGTGGTCACGCAGAGCCCCTGCCCCGGGGCCTCTGCCCCCGGCCCTGCTCCGTGAGGCTGATTCGCTCCAGGCCTGGAGGAGGCCAGAGGGAAAGGTTCCTGCTCAGCCAGGCTCTCCGGCTGCATTGGGGCTGCCCTCTCAGCCCCTTTCCGGGTCCTGGGGCCCAAGATTGTAAGAAAGTCCTCCTCCGATCCAGAAAATAAATAAGTTATTGTGTGTTTCCAGTGTCCTTTCTGGGAGGCCGGGATGCCAGCCGCTGGGAAGGATGAAAAAGATGGACCCTTGGAGGGAGAAGGGGGTCCCCAGCTCCTCATTTTGCAGAAAGAGCTGGGATGGGAGCCTGAATGGCTCACAGGGAGGGACCAAAACTCAGAAAGCTGGGAGTCCCGCAGATAAAAAGATAAAGAAACCCAGAGAGGACTCTCGGGCCAGCCCCACCCCCCTCCCGTCTTCCCCTCCCCATTGGGGCGGGCGGCTGAGGCCTGATGCTGCTGCTGAAAGGACATCTGTCCCCATGGAAACAGCAGGAGTGGGGGAGGGGAGCTGGGCCCAGCTGGTGTCACTTCAAGGTGACTTGGGCAGGAGACCCAGGAGGCTGATAAGTGCCAGGGAGTCCCTTCTCCCTCCTCCCCCCCATCTCCGAGCTGCCTGGGGGGTACCAGCTGGGGGGGGGGACTTCCAGCTCAGGGCACTGTGTGGAGGCTGGGGGTGTCGCTTCTCTGCTAATTGGACATGTCCCTCCACGGACGAGAGGGGGAGCTGCCGAGTCACAGAGCCCCCTTGCCATGGACCTCTCAGCCATGCCTGGGACTCCAGAGGACCCCTTGAATCTTTCTTGCACCCCCAAATTGCCACAAACTCTGGCTTTTCTTTCTTCATGAGCCTTTATGGGGTTTCCTGGGGGCAAGGGAGAGGTCCAGGGTCAAAGAAATAGGACAGGGGTCTCAGGAGGGGCTGCTGGACTCCCAAGACCAGTCACATCCCGTGTAGCCACTGGGGGGTCTTGTCTGAGTCCCCTGGGTTCTGACTCCTCTTCCCTTGGCTGTGGCTGCCCAGAGGAGCCTGGGCCAGGAGAGGTTCTGCCTCTTCCCTTGGCTGTGGCTGCCCAGAGGAGCCTGGGCCAGGAGAGGTTCTGCCTGTAGAAGTGGGGTGACAGGCTGGGGCTGGGCATGGTTTGGGGTCCAGATGCCACCGAGGGTTGGGGATGGGGAAACTCGGTGGAATGGTCGTCCCTGGGGATGTCCAGCCCCTTCCCCTCCACAGGCCTTGCCTCTCTCCTCTTTGGGACCCGCTGGGCAGCAGAGGATGTTGCTGTAGTGGGATGACAAATACCCAGAGGGGACAGCCAGCCCAGCCGGTGTGGCTCCGTGGTTGAGCGTCAACCCATGAACCAAGGGGTTGTGGTTTGATTCCTGGTCAGGGCACATGCCCAGGTTGTGGGCTTGGTCCCCAGTGGGGGGTGTGCAGGAGTCAGCTGATCAATGATTCTCTCTCATCATTCATGTTTCTATCTCTCTCCCTTTCCCTTCCTCTCTGAAATCAATAAAAATACATATATTTAAAAAGAAGAAAATAAAGAAGGGACAATCAATTAAGAGAGCATGGCTTTTCTTCAGCTCACCTCCGGGGGCTTTGTCTCTGCTTCTGAAGAGCATGGATGGACAGGGCAGCCTTCTCTACCTCTTCCCCTCTTTTCAGCCCTCAGCCGTCCCTCCTTCCTTCCAGAAGTGGGAGGTGGGGGGACAGTCCATGCTTGTGAAGGGCTGCAGTTCCCACCTGCGCCCCTCGGAGAAGGGTCCCCAGGGGATGGCCCCAGAACCATCTGCCCTGGCGCGTCTACCTGCGCCCTCACCTGCGTCCTTGAGGCAGGAGCCCCAAAGCCGGGTGCCCATCCTGATACAGCCAAGGTCATGACCCCGGCCTCCAGCAGCATGGAGAATCCTGGGGTGAAAGGGCAGGAGGTGGGTGAGACACAGGCGGCAGAGGTGGCACAGGAGGGACCCCAGGTGAGGCTCACCTGGGACGCCAGGGGTCTGGTTCGTTGGGTAGCAGGCCTCCTACAGAGGAGAAACCTCCCACCCCATGTGGGACCTCGGGTCCCTGGGCCTGCCCTGCTGTTGGACTCTGGGCAGGTGCTGACTCTAAACCTGTTTCCTCTTCTGAGAAAAGGACACACATTCCTGTCTGGCTGGGTGGGTGTGGATTTTTTCATCATGAGCTCCCTGCCCTGGTCACCCTCACGGTGACCTCCATCACCCTGCTCACCGGGGGTCAATGACCCGTCCCAGGTCACACAGCAGTGAATGGCGGAGCGGGGACATGCTTCCAGGTCTGTACAGTTGGCATGACCCCAGCCAAAGGCTCCTGCTGCTGCACCTGAACCCTCCATCCTCAGGTCCTAAGGTGGGCAGTGGTGCCTGGGGGCTGTGAAACAGCTGTGCGGGGTGGGAAAGCCACTGTGTGGACGGGACTGGCGCCAACTGGTTCCCTCTCAGCTGCCAACAGCTCCCAGCCTGGTGCCTCTGCTCATTGGTGATTGGCCCCCTCATCACTGGAGGGGTCGGGGGGTGCCAGGACAGCCAGAGTCCACTGCCCTGGAGGCAGGCAGTGGGCGGTCCTGCCAGCTGATGGGGAATGGGCATCTCTGTCTGAGAGGGGCTGGGAGCCAGGGCGGGGCTGCCCTGTCTGATAGGGGCTGGGCATGCGCCTGAGGCCATCAGAAACCTCCAGAGAGCAGAGCCCTGGCGGAGGTGGCTTCTCTCCTGCGCCTGCTCCAGGGTCAGCCTGGGAGGCCGTCCTGCGCAGAGCGGGGAGTGTGTGAGCCGCAGAGCGGGGAGTGTGTGAGCCGCAGAGCGGGGAGTGTGTGAGCCGCAGAGTGGGGAGTGTGTGATCCGCAGAGGAGTGGGGAGTGTGTGAGCCGGGCTGGAGAGAAAACCCTGCTGCGCTGGCTCCTGTGTGTCACTGACATGACTTGGCCCTCTGCACCTCAGCTTTTCCGTCTGCAAAACGAGCAGCTGCCTTCGCTGGTCTGAACGCTCCCTCCAGCTTTGAGTCAGTGACTTTCAGTTCTGGGTTCTAGAATTCTCTGGTCTACTCAGACTGCAAACTTCTAAGTGTCTCTTTATTTAAAGTGTTTGCCATAGTGCAGTTCTCAGATTCTAGAACCATCCATTCCTTTATTTCAGGGTTTCTCAACTGTTTGTTATTGTCACCCCTCACCCCAGGAGTCTTTTTAAAAAATCTTAATTTCTTCCCCCATGAAATTTTAATACCACAGATATACTGTAAATCTATTTGTGCATTATGTGCCTATTTATGGTTTATACATAGAAAAGATAAATTTTTCTTTGCTTCCCATGAACCAATTTTTGCCTCTTTAGGGAGTGATCTGCCCCAATGAGAACATACACTTTAGTTCTTTTTATTTTTTTAAGTCTGCAGTGTCCATTTATTTGTTTTTACGTTTTTATTGAATTTGTTGGGTGGCATTGGGTAATGAAGTTATGTAGGTTTTCAGGTATATGATTCTATAATACATCATCTGTATATTGCAGTGTGTTCACCACCCCTTATAAGCTATAGTTCTGAGAGCTGAGAATTTTATAGCCCTAGGATTCTAGAACGGCAAGATTCTATGTTGTGCTTCGAGATTCTAGAATTGTCCCAGGTGCAGCAGAACTGTGTACGTAGCTGACGAAAGACACCTTCTAGAGAATCCACGGCAGCCTTGCTCATGAGAGCAAAGGCCCGGAGCTGCCCACGTGCCCGTCAGTAGGAATCGGGCTGAGAAATGGCAATGGAGTCACATGTTGGGATACTCTACCACACGCACCGACATGAATGAGTCTTCCAGACACCTGGAGCAAAAGAAATCAGATGCAAAAAAGAATACACTCTGTGGCTCCATTTAAATAAAATAGGAAACCAGCAAAATGGATCTATGCTGCAAAGAAATCAGGGTAGTGTTGTGGTGGTGGGGGCAGGGGCAACTGTGAAGCCCGTGAGTGTGGTATCTAGTGGGCTGGAAAAGTAGTTCCTTTTTAAAGAGAGAAGAGTTCACTTTATTATTTTT